ACATGGTATCTAGAGCTTAAGGTTATTTTGAATTTTTTTTTCGCCTTTGACCACTATTGAAGCCGCCACCACCGCCGCTATCGCTGTCGGTTATTTGGTAGTGTGAAAGTGCATGTCTAGGAAAGTTCTGACAAGGAAAGACTTGGTATTTAAGCGTGTCCATTAATGACCCACCTCTCTTTCCTGGGAACTTACCTGGTGTACTGGTTCACGCCGCTGTCACTATCGCCTCCGCCCTTTATGACTTCTTCCGCTCCTTTTAGTATTTCCAATTCTGTCAGTACTGCGTCTGATCCTTCCATCTACACTAACTATGTTAATGTGCACTTATCCATTGACAAGTTAACTGGTCCTAATTATGTCACATGGTCATCAGACGTCAGATTATGGCTTAAGAGTCAGAAGTATCTTGATCATCTTGCCCCGAAAGTACCTACTCTCACTCCTGGTGAGGCAGACCGTTGGGACACCATTGATGCTCAATTATGCGTGGTTCTCAAGGGTACTCTTGATCCTTCGTTAAAACAAATTTTTCGTTCCTACGAAATATGTACCAAAATCTGGGAACATGTCAAGTTATTATACACCAATTATACTCAACGTCTCTATGATGTCTGTTCTAAATTTGTAGATGTTATTGCCTCTAAACATCAAGATTCTATGACTAATTATATGGGCAAAATTCATGTTATTTTTCATGAGTTCAATGAGATATTGCCTCCTTCCCCCGACCCTGCCACCGAGATAGGACAACGATCAAAGTTCTTCATGCTAGGGCATTACACAGACTTGCTGATCAATATTCATATATTCGTGATCAGATTTTCGGTTCTCTGGTTGTCCCCACCTTAACATCGACCTGCTCCACTCTTTTGTGTATACCAGCAAAACCCAACCCTGACACACCTGCTTCTGTTAATGATTCTTCTGCATTGGTATCTCACCGTGATGATCGAACTCGCCCTCGCAAACAGGGAAAATGGCGTCCTAAGTGTGAACATTATGGCAAGCTAGGTCACAAGATTGACCAGTGTTATGCATTACATGAGTGTGAGCATTGTGGCAAACTAGGTTACAAGATTGACAAGTGTTATGCATTACATGGTCGTCCAACTCGATCTGCTGCAGTTGCTCAGACTGATCTTTCCCCACCTTTATCTGCTAAGGATCCTCCTTCTTCTATTTCATCAGACACACCTGTTATGTTCAACAAATTTCTCAAATGGTATAAGGATCAACAGCCTTCTAGTTCCACTGTGTCTGTCGCACACACAGGTACATCTTTTGCTGGTCTGACCCAATCTTCTTCTGGTCCTTGGGTTTTTGATTCAGGAGCCACTGATCATATTACTGGTAACAAATCTTTGTTCTCCTCTTTATCCTCTCCTGATCCTTTACCTTTTGTTACACTGGTTGATGGCTCTAGAATATCACCTCATGGTGTTGAAACTGTTAAACTTTTCCCTTCTTTAACCATTGATAATGTTCTTTATGTCCCTGGGTCTCCTTTTAACCTGTTATCCATCAGTCGTCTAACTCGTTCTCTTGATTGTGTTGTTTCTTTTACCAACAATTCTGTGTGTTTACGGGACCGGAGTTCGAAACAGGTGATTGGCACAAGATGTGAGTCTCATGGTCTTTATCATCTTCGTCCCTTTACACATGTTGGTGCAGTTATAGAGTTTCCCTCTCTTCTCCATGCTCAGTTAGGTCATCCAAGTCTTGCCAAGTTACAGCAACTTGTCCCTGCCTTATCTAAATTGTCTAGTTTGACATGTGAGTCGTGTCAATTCGGCAAGCATAGTGTCACACGTGGTGCTTCGTCCCCTTTTGTCGTGGTTCACTCTGACATTTGGGGACCTAGCCGCGTTAAGTGTATTTTAGGTTTTCAATACTTTGTTACTTTCATTGATGATTGTTCTAGATGCACTTGGTTATTTTTTATGAAAAATCGTTCTGAATTATTTCATATCTTTCAAACCTTTTTCAATGAAATTCAAACTCAGTTCGGTGTTTCTATTAGAGTTTTGCGCAATGATAATGGTCGTCAATATCTTTCTCATTCTTTTAAACAATTCATGGCTTCTCATGGTATTTTGCATCAAACTTTTTGTGCTTATACACCTCAACAAAATGGTGTAGCTGAACGTAAAAATAGACATCTTATTGAAACAACTCGCACTCTTTTAATTCATGGAGAGGTTCCTCAGCATTTTTGGGGTGATGCTCTTCTTACTGCATGTTATCTTGTTAATCGCATGCCATCTTCGGTTCTAGATAATAAAATACCTCATTCCATTTTATTCCCTCATGAACCACTTCATCCCTTACTCTAAAAGTTTTCGGGTCTACATGTTTTGTTCATAATTTTAGTTCTGGTCTTGACAAGCTTTCTCCTAGATCACATAAATGTGTTTTCTTAGGGTTTACAATATCACAAAAAGGATACAAATGTTTTTCTCCTTCTCTTAACCGTTATTTTGTGTCTGCAGATGTCACCTTTGATGAGTTCTCTTTTTATTTTAAAAGTCAATTTTCACCTTTGTCTCCATCCAATCTTGTCAGCACTCCTAGTACATTTAATGTTCCTGTTGTTTGTGACCCTCTAACTGTGTCTTCTTCACCATTAGTTTCTACTCCGCAATCATCTTCTTCTTCACTGCTTCTTCAGGTTTATAGTTGCCGAAACCAATCACAACCACCACCATGTGACTCTACTCAAGTGTCAACTACTTTGTCTCCTCCGGATGTGACACCTGAGTCTGACCTTCTCATTGGCCTCCGAAAAGGTATCTGTTCTACACGTAATCCCTCTCTGCATTATATTGGTTTGAGTTATCATCGACTGTCATTACCTTTTTATACATGTCTTTCCTCTCTTTCTTCTGTGACCATTCCAAAAATTGTTCGTGAAGCTTTAGCCCATCCTAGTTGGCGTTAGGCCATGTTAGATGAACTAAGTGTTCTTCATGATAGTGGAACTTGGGAATTGGTCTCGTTACCGTCTGGGAAATCTGTTGTTGGTTGCAGGTGGGTGTTTGCTATCAAAGTTGGACCTGATGGTACTATTGATCGCCTCAAAGCTCGTCTTGTGGCCAAAGGTTATACTCAAATTTTTTGGTTGGATTATGGAGATACCTTTTCCCCTGTGGCAAAGATGACTTCTGTTCGTTTATTTATCGCCATGGCCGCTCTTCAACAATGGCCTCTTTATCAACTAAATGTTAAAAATGTTTTCCTCAATGGTGATTTGCAAGAAAAAATCTATATGGAGCAACCTCCTGGGTTTGTTGCTCAGGGGGGGTCTTCTGGGATGGTATGTCGTCTTCGCAAATCCCTATATGGCCTAAAACAGTCTCCTAGGACCTGGTTTGGAAAGTTTAGCAAGGTTGTTCAACAATTTGGTATGACTCGGTGTGAAGCAGATCACTCTGTCTTTTATCAACACTCAAGTGCTGGATGTGTTTACTTGATAGTATATGTTGATGACATCATTCTTACAGGTAGTGACAACCATGGTATCTCTCAGTTGAAACAACATCTCTGTCACCATTTTCAGACCAAAGATCTTGGCAAACTTAGATATTTCTTGGGTATTGAGGTGACATAGTTCAATGATAGTATTGTTATATCTCAGAGGAAGTATGCCATGGATATTTTGGAGGAAACTGGGTTGATGAATTCAAAGTCTGTTGATACGCCCATGGATCCCAATACTAAACTTTTACCCAATCAGGGGGAGTTTATACCTGATCCTAAGCAGTATAGAAGATTAGTTGGAAAATTGAATTATCTTACAATTACTCGTCCTGACATTTCCTTTGCAGTCAGTGTGGTAAGTCAATTTCTTAATTCCCCATGTGAAGATCATTGGAATGCAGTCATTCGTATCTTAAAGTATATTAAAGGATCTCCTGGAAAAGGATTGTTATATGATTCTAATAACCATACAAGAGTTGTTTGCTACTCAGATGCTGATTGGGCAGGATCTCCTTCGGATAGAAGATCTACATCTGGATATTGTGTCTCCATTGGTGGTAACTTGGTCTCATGGAAAAGTAAGAAACAAAGTGTTGTGGCAAGATCTAGTGCAAAAGCAGAATATAGAGCTATGGCCTCAGCTGCTTGTGAAATTGTTTGACTCAAGCAATTGCTTAGAGAGTTACAATTTGGAGATGTCACTCAAATGTCACTTGTGTGTGACAATCAAGTTGCTCTTCATATTAGTTATAATTTTGTCTTTCATGAGAGGACCAAACACATTGAGATTGACTGTCATTTCATTCGAGAAAAGATTATGTCTGGAGACATTAAGACTGAGTTTGTTAACTCAAGTGATCAGTTAGCAGATATTTTTACTAAATCTTTACGGGGTCCTAAAATTGATTATATTTGTAACAAGCTTGGCACATACGATTTGTATGCTCCAGCTTGAGGGGAAGTGTTAGATATTGTTTAGATATTATTTAATATTGTTAAGATATTGTTAGATATTAACCATAATATCAAACAATATCTTCTGTTTATTCTGTTACTTTTAGTTACTCTTTTAGTTGTATCTTTCTACTATAAATAGACTACCCTATGTGTGATTTATACACAAGGGAGATTAATCCCAAACTCTATTTCTTCTATATTCAACACACCCGTTGTGCAATTGAGATTCATATCATGAACTCAACTTTATTCTATTGATACTCAATTATAATTTCTCAGAATAGGGAGATATATGAAAAGAAAATGTAGATTATTTATTAAGCCTCTTATATTCATTGACTACCCCAAATCCATGTTGTAGCATTAAAAACCAGTGAGACTGAGAACCTCTTTGCACTTCGCAAAGATGGAAGTCTCCTGCACAAACTATTTCAACCTGCTTTTAACTTTTTAGGCATCCATCAGACTAGTTGTGTTTATGTCAAATCTCTCTCCATCCAGTTGGTCTGCACACCACACTAGTGTCCGTTGGAAATTTCCTGCTGTGATCCTAGTATCATCATATGGCACACAGGCAACCAATCTTCCCAGTCAGCAAACATGTTTCTCACAGTTTTAAAATGTTCAGTTTTGCTATTTAGGTTCAGTACCATCTTATTCTCAATCGCATAAAATTCTCACTTAAGATATTTTATATGCACTTAAAGAATGTGTTTGTTTTAGACTGTGACATGTGTGGTATCTGATATTTAGGCAGTGAGGTTTTTTTCAGAAATATATATTTCAACTGAGTCACTGTTTGTTGTATACTGTTAGATGCATGTGACTCGTGTTCCTAGTAAAATTTACTCCGTGTATAATACAAGTAAAGTTTTGTCCACCATTTACTCATTATGGATAATAAGTCTTAAAACCATGGGTCAATTTTAAATTGTAGCCTTATAGGGTTAACATTTTGATGGATTGTGTCAACACTTTAAACGATATAACTTCCACCTGATTGAATATTAACAATTTTTATTTTTTCATTAGTTTAGTTTCTTATATGTTGATCTTGAAGTTGAACCTTGTTTTCTGTTGGATTTCAGAGTTTAGACAATGAAGAAGTCAACAATGGGGAAATACTTCTACAATCAGAGGATGAAATCATTAGGAGACAGAGATTTGAAGCCATCCTAAATTTACAGAAGGAGAATAGTGGTTTGATTGAACCCAAAAAAGAGATAGTCATATTGCCTGGTATGTATCTTCCACAACCAGTTGCAATGCCAAGCTCTACATCAACCAAGGAATCTGATGATCAGACACAAAAAGAACCACCTGCAGTTGTGTCAGGAAAACATGGCGGTGGAACATCCAATGCACCTAGCTCTAGCAGGCCGAGGAATTTCGGTGCAAGGAGGCAGAAAGCAAGAAGTGATAACCACTCTAGTTCAACTTTAAGAGATCCAAGAAAACCAGTCCAACAGTGGATAAGAAGAGATAGTCCTAGCAATAAGCAATAGAAGTGGTGTCTCTCACTGCTATAGCAGTGTGTTTGGATCAGTTATGGAAGCAAAAAACACCTGTATGACCACCGAGAAAACTTGGAGCTGAATAAAATAGTTTCTATATGAATGTGAAAATTGGAGATAGATTTTGCTTGAGTTGATGAGAAAACAACATACTTTAGGTCTTAATATCATATCAAATGAAAAACAAAATATAGATAGTAGAAAAAGATAGATATACTTGACTCTTCTCTCCCCTTCTCAGTCAAAGGGTATTGGAGGAGAAGAAGCAAAGGAGGAAGACAAGCTTGTTTTCGCAATTTGCTGGGTTTTTTTTTAACTCGTATGATTGATTATGTTGCAATTCTTGCAATAATGAAGTGGTATCTTTTCCTTATTAAAAAGAAAAAAAAAAAGTTTATCCTTTGATGTATTTATTTTGTTTTTATACATGATTTGGAGGTTTACTGCTTCCTACTACTAATCCTGTCTTTCTTTCCACTATTTTTATATTCAAATATGTTTTTTTTTTCTTAATAAAATATTTGTTAGGGTGTAAGAGAAATTACAACTCCCAAAATTTGGTAATAACCTTATATATTAATTTTAGTTTTGGTAATAACCTTATATATTAATTTTAGTTTTGTAAAATTCAATCGTCATTAAACATATTTACTTTAGTTATAATTTAAATTTATTTGATTTTTTTATAAATGTTAAAACAAGTTATTAAATATATTAAATAAAAAAATATATTAAACATATTTTTATTTTTATATTTCTTTTACTTCTTTATTATTTTTTATTATTGATTAATAATATATTATTTAATTATAAAACTCATTGATAAAATATTTGTTATTCTACTCACTTATCATTATTACATATTATTATTATTAGTTAATATTACATAAAAAAACTCCATTAATTAATTCATTAAAATTATATAATTATAATTCTTTCGAAATTATTTTTTTATATACATTTTTTTAGGTTATAATTTTGTTCTTCACTAATCAATTTTTTTTATCATATATTTGTTCTAATTATTTATTTATTTCATATTTTTTATATAAAAAATATTGAAGTGACTATGTCAACTATTTAATTATCAAATTAAAATATCCAATATTAAAAAAACAATTTTAACTTATTTAAAATTAGAAATATAAAAATTATAAATTTGAATTTACAATTAAAATATATTTATATATGATTAGAAAAACAAAAGAAGTATTACTAGGAGAGTAATATGTATTGAACTCCAAAACATTAAATTTGATAAATAAAGATATATAAAACGCAGCTTACATAAAAAGGAAAAAAATAGAATAGTCATATCTTATATAATTGTAATTCATTAATAAGGGCAAAAGCAATTTTTTCTAATCATCCAAAAAACATAAGTCTACATCACCAAATAAGGGTTGCGCACCAATTATATTCTTTCATAAAAGTTTAGATAATAGATTGAAATAATAGTATTTTAATTCGATCGAAAATACATGAATTAAAAAAATATATTAAAAAATAGTTCAATATAACAATATTATTATTTAATATTAACTTAATGCGTCATTGTACATTATTAATTAAATTATTCATTTATCTGCCAAAAAGAAATATATTTTTTTAAATCACACTCATCACTCTCTCTCAAATTAAGAAATAGGCATTATTATTATATTAGAAAAGTAATAATTTAATAAAAAAAAAAACTATATCACTATTCCATCATATATATCTTTACTTGTGCAATATATATTTATAGAAATATTTTGTTCAAAGATAATTAAAATAATAACCTATTACGTATGCATATTAAAATTTAACAAATTTTAACTCATATAAATCTTTAACATTTTTCTATATCTTTCATATTATATAATTAACTTATGTGTTATCATAATTATATTATCAGTGAAAAAGAAAATATTTTAAAATAAATTTTACAAAAGTAAATGAGTGTAAAACATTAATTAGATAAAGAAATTTTTTTATATTATTTTTCATATAAAAATATATATGTATATTACGAAAAAATATATAAATTTTACTTATAGTGCTGATAAAAAAATTGATAACTAATTTTATAATAATAATAAAAATTTAAATTATAAAACTTTTTTTTACTATATAATTTATATATATACAATTTTTTTTGTCAGTTTTAGTGTGAACAAATCAATCATTCAAGTATCAAGGTTTTCCACTCAACACAATCACATCCACACTAATAAAGGAGTAAAATCCCATCTTATGTTAAAAAAATTAAATTAAAGATCAAGATTTGAATAAGTTATAAATATAAATCTTCTTCATTACAAGACAATTGAAAAATTATAGATATCCATAGAAAATATATATTAATAATTATAATTTTCTTCTCTTCAATATGATCATATATTACAAGTTTATGAGTGAATAGAGTGGATTTTTTTGTGTTTACAAGCACAAGAGGAGCTTACGAAATTTTTGACCAAATGAAGGTATGTTCTGAGATCATGACACATGGCAACATCTCTCTTGTTGAGACATGGAAACTCCCTACTACTCAACCTCAACTCTTGTCCAATGTCAACATACACCAATTCCATGTCTTCTATGTACTTGTATAACCATTTTGACCAGATTCCCACACCAACATCTTCACTACCATCATCTAAATTCACCATGAGTCCTGGAACTTTTGTTACAACATCATCAGAGTTTACTATTCTTAGAACTCTGATTCCTTTTTGTTCCAATTGCTTCTTGAAACCTTCATTTCCCACACGAGGTCCACCAAAAGATATGACAGTAACCATTGGTGCATTCTTGAAAGTAGCAGTTATATCATAAGCACTCAGAATCGCAAGAGCAGCTCCAAGACTGTGACCAGTTAGGGTTAAACTAAGTGGCTCATTGGTGTATCTTTGAATCACTCTTCTAATCTCTTGTCTCACCATTTCTTGCAAACTTGCACCCGCAGTGGTTTTGGAGGTGTAAAGGCTCAAAAACCCTTTTTGCACCATGGGACCAACGTCATCTTCTCCCATCACAAGACCTGGTAACTGTGTCAAGGAGACACGTAGGTTTTCCAACCACTCCAAACATGTAACTGTTCCTCTAAAAGCAATCACAATGTCGCGTCGACCAAGTCTGGTAATTTCTTTCTTGTTTTCACAGATTGCCACGTACCCTATCCAACTAGACCTGGTACATGTCTGTTTAAAAGTTTTAGTTATCCATGTTGGTACGCGAATTCCGCATGTAACTCGAAGATATTTGGTTAATCGATATCCATACTTTTCTAACCCGCACTTACTCAAAAGTGATTTTTTTGAATAAAGGGATGTGGCATAGGTGAGAGAAGAAGGATCAAAGTCAAGGGATTTATAGGTAGCTTCGACAAAGTGGCCATATCTTAAGATTTCTGATCGTAGGCTATCATCAAGAGGATCCAACAAGCCTTCCCAATGATTGATTCCTTGGTATTGCTTCCATTTTGGACCAAGTTTGGGGAAGTTGTGTTTAGTTGTGTGAGGTTTGAGTTGGTTCCATGAGGGTAAAAGCTTGTTGAATTGTGAGCTTGTGTTGGATTCAAAAGATGAAAAAGTAGGGTTAGGTTGGGAAATAGAGGAAGATGCACGTGGATGGATTGAAGCTACTATCATAGAAAGCTTCATTATTGTCAGTATGATATATTTCAATTTAGGTATTTGCATGACCTTTATACACGGGGAAAGAGAAGAAAGTGGTGAGTGGTGGTGGGGTTTGTAAGAATGTGAGGAGAGAAGTAGAGATATTATAGATTGATATTTTCTTTTTTTTTCTTTTTTTTATTATAAAAAGAGTAATGTGTTTATTTTGTAAATTATCTTAAATTTTTTTTATTAATATATTATATAGTAGTTGTGTTTTTTTTATTTTTAAAGATGATATTATTATTTTTAATTTTTTATTTAAAGAAAAGTATTATAATTTTAAAAAAAATATTTTTAATCATAAATTTTATTTTTTTCATTTTTTAATCATAGATTTTATTTTTCTTTTCTATTTTTTATTTTATTTATGAATTTTTATATTATTATTATAATTCCTAATATACATCACCTTCTAGTGTAAAATCTTTCTGTTAATTTACACATGCTCTTCTCCATTTATTAATATTTATTTAATTTATATATATATATATATATATGATTTTTTACTATAAGGAATATTGAATTTAATGGAAGATACTAATTCACTACAATATCAAAATATTTTGACTCTCCTTCTATACACAAAATTATCTTGAAAGAGAAATACCTCAAGTTTAAGTAGATGGATTTTTTTTTCTAAGCATCACACTTTACACATTTCAATCAAGCTTTTTCAAAACTTTTTTCATTTATTATATTTAACATTATACATAGTTATAAACATTATTTCCATTTTGCTAATGTGAAAAATGTGTTTGCTGTTTTCAATTTTTCTTAACAATTTCAAGCAAGTATTACATATATACAATACAAATGGTGATATTTTATAAGAATCTATGTTTTTGTATGACTTTACATCTTCAATTTTTTTCAGAAATCTTATTATTATTACTTTTTTTAAACATGAAAAACTTTTATAAGATATATTTTACTTAAATTTAAGATTTTTTTTTAATACTTAGTGAATTAGAAATACACATATTAACCTGTTTTTAGCACATTTTTGGTATATTGATATAAGTAGTGTAGTCAATGTCATGAGAGTAGTGATTATATATAGGGTTATATACACAATGGAATAGGGTGCGACCTATGCCACTATATAGAATATTTTTTGTGGAAAAAAATGAACGACTTTGTGTTCAAGACAATCTATTATTGATTAATTGATTTTAGCATATTCCACATATTCTGTTGCTGAACCTGGAAAAGAAGACCATTTACATTTACATTTGGTGCAACATCAAATCTAATGCTCACACTTATAATCTAAAAATAGTAATTGATAACATTTTTTTTTTAACAATTCTTTATTAGAAAAAAACTAGCTAGCAATATCATTGCATCATCTCTCATCAAAATGGGCTATTTATAATACACTTATATTCTGTCATGAGTTAGTAAATCTTAAAATATTTTGAGAATTTGTCATCTTATTATAAGAATTCCATTGTATTTATTATTAATACACAATGTTTTAATTTTAATCTACTATTTGCAGAGGTGAATTGTAAAGAAAGTTCTATTGGTGAGATGTAGTAGGTTTTATTGGGTTTATTTTATATCCGTGTTTTTATTTTATTTTTTTCTCATGTTTTAATTAGAGTACCAATATGAGTTTTATTTCGTGAGTTAATCCAATTATCATGGTTCACGTTGGATTGAGTACATTTTTTTATTGATATTTTTATTAAATATGAGTCAAAATAATTATGGCTGACTCAGTTAGATGAGTTTAAGTCGAGTTATAATGTTTGACTCACAATTCACATTATATTTTAAATTTTAAAAATAATTAATAAGTTAATAAAAAATTAATTTCATTTATTTATGTTATCTAGTATATATGCTGTCCTAAGTGAACAAAATTATTTTTACTCAAGATTGTTGTATTTATCCCGTTTGTCATTCGTCGTATTTGTTTAATCTATTGTGTCATTTGCGTTCACCACCACATCTATTGTGTTTGCCTATGTGTGTTTACCTCTGCTGTGTCTATAACTTTTGTTGTGTACGTTAACCGCCTCTATCAATTACGTACATTCATGTGTATGTTACATATACCATATTTACTGTGTTTATAATAGGTTAGTGAGTCAATCAAGTTAACCCATCAACGGATTGAGTAGGATTATAAAGTATTTGACCTATATTAAACTCGCATATTTTTAGTTTATTCGGTAGTGAAACATAGAGCTAGATTGATTCACTCTATCATCTAATTCTAATATATTATAATAGATGTTATGTTTTGTAACTTCATTTCTCCCTTATTGTATAAAGTTATTTTTTTATCCATTAAAAAAACAAAAATGATACCAATTATAAACTTGACTTGTGTTCTTGTTCATCCTAGTGTACTCCATGATACATTATTGGAGAGTGGTTTATATAATTCATTGCTACGTTAATTACGGGACTACCCACTTAGTTTGTGTGATCTATATTCTTAGGTCATATTCGTTTTCTATTACAGCACTATCATTGATTCTGAATTTTATTGGATGATGATTTTCTTCATCAAGCATATATTTTCTTAAAAAAATGTTCATTATTGGTTTCAAATGTTTGCATATACGGTAGCAAAAAATTACAGTCAAACTAGGTCTAGCTTATTCAAGTAAAAGTTAGGAACCAATTTACCCTAATATTATATTATCCATCTTTGATGAATTAAAACATGCCTATTTCTTTTCTTTTCTTTTCTTTTTAAGTAATTAACCATATTCATCAAACATATCAAAAGGATGTGACACAAACCTAAACACACAAGTGCCTGTTTTCTTTTTGTTAGTTGATGGTTACGTTTGAAATAACATGTGTGCTATTTCATGATGGAAACTACTGTACACGATTTTGGAGAGACCATGGCTTGTCATTCTCTAGGTGCTTCCATGGCAATACATAGCCAATAGGTATAAAGGAAAATGATAATGTATGTTGTAAGTGTTAGCTTCGTGCTCCTCCACTTTTATACATCTTCTATACATAACTGTTCTTGCGCATTGAGTAGACACATGTACGTTCCAGGTTTCAGGTGTACAGGGTTGGAGATTACATCTCTTTCTTACATATACGACGAAATGGAATATCTAAGCACGATAATAATCATTTTGATTTTGTATAAACTTGTGTACAAGTTCAAATTTTGGTATCAAAATTTATCACTGTAATTGCTGGTGTCTAATTCTCTACTTTTATTATATAAATTTCTCATCAAGACATTTTTATAAGAGAGAGTAATGACCGATAAGTAATAAGGAACAAATCAAATCTTTTGTTCCTTTTAAAATTTTTTGTTTTAAGCATATCTTCTTTTTTTCCTGCAAATTATTGGTGAAAAAAAAAACACGTTTTATATTTTATTTGTTCAAGATATAAATTAAATATAACACATAAGACTATATCAATTCTAATTAGTTAGTTTAATAATTGGAGAGAATATTTCACTAAAATCAATGACTTCTTTTCTAATATATCTTTTAATACCAATTTAGCATTATATTGTTTCACTTGATTATTATCATCATTTGATCTTACAAACTCATTTGCAATCAATGATTTTTTGACCCTTCACAAGTTCAACAAGCTTTCATGTCTTATTTTAATAAAAAAGTCTCTACTTCTTCTTGCATCATTGTCATCCACGATGAAACATTAGAATAATTTACGGTATCTTAAACAGTTAAAAGTTTTTCCTTATTTAGAAGACAATATACATCATGACGTGTTATAACATATTATAAATAGGAAGGTTCAACTTTATTTTGTGATCGGTAAAGTCTTTCATTATCATACATTTGGCTCATATTTTGCCTTAGCAAAATCACCCAAAGGCTTATTCTCTATTTGTACTATGGTAGTGTCCTTTATAAAGTTGACATTTGCCTATTTATTTTATAGTTCACTTTCTGCAACAACTATATCTCTGTTAACAATAATCTTCAGTAGGATCTCATAGGCGATACCCTTTCACATTATTAGTATAGCCTAAAAATATATATTTCATAGATTTTGGATTCATTTTTGTTCTTTCCTAAAAGTTGTACATCACATAAACGGGACAACAAAATATATGTAAGGAAGAATGATAAGCAAGTTTGTCATTCCACATCTTTATCGGTGTCTTCAAACTTATCGTTGTTGACGATGATTGATTTATCACATAACAAGTTATTTTAACTACTTTTGTCCATAAAGACTTGGTCACTCTCACTGTGCTCATTATAGCTCTTGTTCTATCTAGAGAATTCTATTAATATGTTCTGTCGCACCATTTTTCTAAGGTGTATGTGGAACAAAAATTCTTGTAATACCTTCTTGATTGTATAAAAAATCTTCATCTACATATTTTTCTTCATTATTTATCCACAAATACTTAATTCTTTTCTCAATTTCAAGCACTATTTGTGCTTAGAATTCCTTAAATTCTAGAAACACATATGACTTTTTCTTGATAGAGTATTATCCATAATAAAGTAATCATTAATAAATGATACAAGATAATTTGTTCATCTAAGAGATAATATCAATAATTCCCACATATCATAATGAATCAAAAATAATATGTGTTTGCTTCCAGTAATCATTTTAGCAAACTTCAATCTATGTTGTTTGTTTATCACATAATACTCGTAAAAAGGTCAAATAACCTCTTTGAGCCCAAGTAAGATATTGCAATTCATAAGAATTTGTAGACCTCACCTTGATATGTGACCAAATATGTTATGTCGCATCATCACTACTTCTTCTTGACTTACTAATAATGTAATTATTGCATTTGCTTCTTGCAACGTAATTATCAAAAGCACATACAACCAGAGTCTTTCTCACTACTTTTAAGATTTCATCTTCAGTATGGATCTTACACTTGAGGTCATCTAATATCCCAATAGATAATAAATATTTTTTTTAGTCATTCACATGTTTAACCCTTGAACTGCACAAATATTACTATTATATATTTTATTTTGACATTACCG